TGCTCATTCAGAGAAAACTGCTCAAGCTCTGTACCTGCAGCTCTTTTGAGTTGTTATAATAATAGATTGTAAGTGTAGATTGACCTGATACTGAGGTCACTACCTTGGAATACTTTGGAAATCCGTAATTAAATGCGGGTAGTAGGATGAGATGAAATTAATGTGGTGCTCCACTAACTACTGGGATTGGGAAAAAAAAAAAGTACCTTGTTTGATTTCCGCATCAATGTGATTTCTTCTTTTTATTTTTTAGTTTTTCTCACCATTGAACCCCATAAGAGTGCACATTGACATTGGGGCAGATGGAAGAGCCACAGGAGAGGCAGATGTGGAATTCGTAACACACGAGGATGCAGTAGCTGCCATGTCCAAGGATAAAAATCACATGCGTGAGTGTTGTTTGTACTTGGAGCTTTGCTTGGTCAGGCTATAGCACCATCTGCAGGGGTTTGCACTGCATGTAACTTAAAGTGCTGTGCAGGAAACGCACAAGTTGCAAGACTTGTTGGCTTTGTAGTTCTGCACGTCTGGTTTCTGAAAGGAGGCTTTTTTGTTTCCTGCAGAGCATCGATATATTGAACTGTTCCTGAACTCAACTGCTGGAGGTGGCTCTGCAATGGGAGGCTATGGCAGAGATGGAATGGGTACGTATCAATTCCAGACCTGGCTGAAGCTTGACCACATCTAATGAGTTTTAAGCTCATTTAATGAGTTCTAAGCTCATAACGATGTACTATCTGTGTTTCAGATCAAGGTTACGGTTCTGTTGGCAGAATGGGGATGGGTAGCAATTACAGCGGAGGGTACGGAACTCCTGACGGCCTGGGAGGATACAGTAAGTAACTGTTTTGTTCTAGGAGTACCTAGTGAAAATGTTGCTCATGTCTGCTGTCTGAGGGACCAGCAGGAAGGGTGATGGGCTTTGTGTGCTGGGGAGGGGGGAGTATTTGTGCTGGGAGACAAGCAATAGAGGGCAGTAAATGAAAGCAGTAAATAGTTGGGGGTTTCATGCATTTTGCTACAGCAGCAAATGCTTGTTGATAGAAGTAGTGCTGAAGTATTGTTATTTTGGTGTAAGTGAAATCATCTTTAACTAACTGTTCTGTATTACCCATCACATTTTTTCTTTTTTTAAGGTATGTATGCGTGACCTTGTGTCAATTGTTTGCAGGTCGTGGCAGTGGAAATAGTGGAGGATACTATGGGCAAGGCAGTATGGGTGGAGGAGGATGGCGTGGAATGTATTGAAGGGTAGCCTTGCTTCTACAGAACATCCTGGAAGAAACAGTCTCTGGTCTACTAGACTTTCTTACAAAATTTAATTTCTTTTGTATTTTAAGAACTTTATAATGACTGAAGGAATGTGTTTTCACAATATTATTTGGTAAGCAACAGATTGTGATGGGGAAATCTGTTTTCTGTAGGTTTTATTTGTTGCATACTCTGACTTTAAATAAATTTTTATATTCAAACCACTGATGTTGATACTTTTTATACTAGTTACTCCTAAGGATGTATTACATATTCAAGACTACAGTCGGTTTAAGATGTTGTACTATGGTTCAATAAAGGTGGTTGTACTGTAACTCCTATGAACACTGATTCAGTTCTATGTAATCTTGGTGTAGTGAGTGAGTTTGAAAAATTCACTTGTTTAAGGGGAAAAAGGTAGATAAATAGATGAGTTCATTTGGTAATGATCTTTCCTAAACCCTTTTGATAAGTTGTGTGTAATAGCTCCAAGACAGCCTAAAGCTGTGGAGGCTAAAAGTCATTGTTCCAGCTTTCTTCCTTGTTCTGCCAGAGTCTGCCATCACCTTCAATTGCACACCCCCAGCACCAAGTGGTGCCCAGGTTCTGTGCCTCCACACCACCAAGCCACTTCCTTTCCATGCTTTGCTGTAGGACTCTATAGATACTGCGTTTCAAAGGTGTAACTTGCAAACTAAAACATTACTATGGCTTTTGGCTAACATGAAATAGGTCAAGTACTAGTTAATTTGAAGCTAGCTATATAGTATTTTTTTCACAAACACTGATTTTTGGGAAGGGGAATTTAGAGATGTTACACTTTTCATGAAATTACTGTATTAAATACTCAGCCTTCTTTTTCTGCACAGAGCTTATTTATCTGTATTTGTTCAAAATCTGACAACTCATTATATAAATGAGCTCATTAGAAGCAAAGTATCTCTTAAGATATTTAAACCAAATACTTGTTAACACACAACCCAAACACTTTTGTGCATTTGTGACATGTAAGATATGTAAGAAACTATTGTTCGAAGACAACATACCTGATGTGTAATGAAAAAAAGGTATTCTGAGCCCGTGTGATCTCCCAAATTATTTGCTTTGTCCTCAATGCCTCCCTTAAAATGTCAAATGTGATCTTGGGTATTGCAAGTCTGTCACCTGTTTTGCTAGTACTGTGTTATAAATGTAATAAATGTCTTACTGTGGGAGAGGCGGATGGAGTTTATTTCACTAGAGTTGTGTCCTTGTGTCAAAGTGACTGGAAATAATAACTGAGGGTAATTGGCATAGGAAGCCTTCCAAGGCCTGGAATCTTTTGGGATAGGAAGGGGAGGGAAAATGACTTGAAATGATAATATAGGTGATTTTGCAGAGCTTCATTTTAAGTTCAGGCCCTTAAAAACAGTGGGATCTTGATCTGTAGGCTTGTGTGTTGTAAAACTAGGATGGTGAAGGTGAGGGTGAGTAGTCCATTTGCAGGAAAAGATGCCTCACAGTGAGGCAGAGGACACCACAGCTAACAGAAGCCTATCTTTGCCATCAGCAGACACGTCAGACGCTTAGCTCTGTGCTGTCCTCACTCAGGTATACTTGGCCTTCCATTTTACCAGCAGGAGCACTGCCACCTGCTTTTAAGACTCACCTTTTGGGAGCAAGTTGGGAGTTCTGCTTTGAGCTATTTTGCATAAACCAATCACCAACTGCACTGAATTGAGTCCTGATGAGTGACACTCCACTCTACTGGGCAGTGAATCCTTTCCACCACTGACACTTCACCCTGTAACAAGAGCAGCATTCAGTGCTGAACCTTTCAACTCAATTAAGCAGTGTTCAAATTGGTTTTTGAGAAGAAAACCCATGAAGAAAAGATGGCCCAGTCAGTGAGGGAGATTTAATCACTGTACACAAAGTTGTAAAAAGACAAAAGATACAGGATTAATGATCGTGTGGTCCAGAGAACGCCTAAAAACAGGTCAGGTACGTAGTTTGATGCTAAAGGAAATAAACCCACACAGAACATACAGTATTCACCATATTGTTGACATTTTACTTGAATTGGAATAACTGCATAAAAGCAGACAATGCTCATCTGCACTACACCCTAGATCAAACCCTGCCCCCTCCACACCTGCCCCACAAAAAGCCCCCCTGAAAACACACTCGGAATGCTTTCAGGAGGCACCTCAGCAGCATTGGGTTTACTGTAATCATTAGCAAGGTAGCTCCTTACTCTCCAACACTTGCCAAGTCTTCCTAAGCAACTTGCATGCTATTAATAACAAAATACTCCAAATGATAAATTTTAAAAAGTGACATTTTCCCCATAGGTAAGTTGCAGATCAATTAAATTTATTTCTTCAAAAAAGCTATTTACAGATTTACAAGTATTTGTTTTGTATTTTACAAAAAGTTACATCAGGTAATTTAAAAAAACATTTTCTTTACAAAAGCTACATAAGCAACTACACCGAGGTGTTAAAAAGAAACAGCTGTTTGCTTTTAGAGTATAAACTCTATGCCTATCCTCAGAAGATAAAGTTAAGCTAAACAAAGTGCAAGAACAATTAAAAGACCTGTTTCAAAGCCTTCCTTCTGTTAATGAAGAATAGTCCCAGCCTGTGGCTGAAGGAACTACCAGGCCAATAATTCCATAGTGGCTTGTCAGTGCTGAGCAGAGCGTGGGGATTCCACAGCAGGACCCCACCACGAGCAGCTGAAGGGAAGGGGGCAGAGAGGTTCTGGTGTGGCAACATGTGGAAGGGAGGACAATTTAGGATGTGTTTGCCTACAGGAAGGATAAGGATTTACATTCCAGCAGAAGTGATCACAGGAGTATCAGCATTGAAGAGTGGTCAGACCTAGGTGTATTCAGAAGTGGTGTGGGAACAAACTCTGAAAGTCTGAGAAAGATGACGGCAAAAAAAAAGGAAGAACCCTCCAGTCCCACACAGGCAGTGCAGCAGGGCATGGTTCCCAGTACTTAATCCCAGTGTTTCTTGGCAGCAGATTCACATCTCTCTTCCAATGGAAAAGTGGGTATGTCAAATTGATAGTTAATTTAAAAAAACAATTCAGCAAAAGGCACCTTCCCATGCCCAGTGCCTACAGGTAGTTTGTTACCTGTCTGACAAAACCTCCCCTTGGCACCTGTGACTACAAAGAACAGAGCTCTCACTGCAGTGTTCTTGGACATATCAAATATTGATCATTGAGGGGAAGTAAATACAGGGTTTGGCAATAACTTACTGGACCACTGCATTAATTGCATTACTTTTTAAAAAGAGAATTTAAAACTAGCTACCACATAGTTTGGCTTCACGGCAGCATGTCACAGGTACATTCTGCAGCAGAATTAGGGTGGGCTTGTTACAGACTAGCCTGTAAAAGCAGGTAAGTGTATCATCATTTTCAAGATCCTCATAATAACTAAGATACTCACCAAATACACATTAACACTGAATCTCCTCTATAAACTGTCCTGCTTCCTCCAAAAGAGCGTCTCAGCCATTTGCTAGACTCACATTGTTATCTGTATTTTTAATATGTGCATTTTCTGTCTTTGGGTCCCATTTTCTCTGTTTCAACAGGAAGCAAATAACTCCTCCACAGTACCCTGAAAACACAACCCTAGACTGCTTACCTGAAATTCTTAAAATAGTGCTGTACATTCTTTAGTTGGTTTTGTTTTGTTTTAACAGGATTAGCTAACTACCAAGAGGTAATCAATCTCTTGGAAAATAATCCTATGGCACATTAGAAGAGCACCTCTGTATAAGTATTGCATGGCAGGAATCACAGACCCGAACAGGCTTTGGTGAAGAAGGCAGAGGCAGTTCATTGTCAGAACAGGCATTACAGAAGATCTCACCACAGTTTCTACAATGATGCTGAATAATGGGGAGAAGAGGGGGTAAAAGGGGAAAAAAAAAAAAAAAATTACAATGAAAATACACTTGGGAAATTGGATAGCAATACACAACATACACAGAGCAGCCTGAAATTATTCCTGCCACTTCTTTGGTCTGAGCATGTAATCAGTTTTCAAAAGATAAATCCTCTAAATCCGAATCCATGATCCAATAGTAGACAGATGGTCTGTCTAGGACAGTTTATATATATATATATATATGCTTTGCAAATTTCATTCAATCCCCAGATTAAGAACACAGTCTGCTATATAAAAATATAATATAGCCAATGATATTCAAGAGATTGGATGATTCTGTCAGTCAGCTAATTGAGATTTAACAAAAAAGAAAAGAAAAAATTCTGCACACATTAATAAAGCATGGAAATCAACATCATGTTTTACTTTAAAATTGCAATAAACTCCTAATTTCTTAGTCTAGGGTATTAAAAAATGCCATAAACATACGGCCATGTGTCAAATTTTAACAGAGCTTTGTGCCAGAGCTGACAAGCACTGGAGGTGATGACACCACAAAATAGGCTGAGAACTTTAGGTATGTTCCCGTGTGGCACTTCACCAAAAGGCAGCATTTCTTTTGAAATTGGGGGGCAGCTGCACTGTACATGCCAAAGAAAGAGAAAGCCATCTCAAAAATAACCATGCATTCATGTGAGCCCTGACATTTCATGCTGCACTGCTAAGATAATTCATGTTTTTCTCATAATACATGTCAAAAGGTTGGAAGAAATTTCGTTACAGTTTTACCTTCCTTTTGGAAAGAGAAAATTCTTTTTCACATAACTTGCAATGTGTGGCCTCTTTGTCCTTCAACCAAACCTGGCCCTAGAGAAAAAAATTATCAGAAGTGTATGTATCTGATGAAGTTACACTTTGGGTTCCAGGAGACAAGACAAATCAATAGCAGTACATTTACTGTCTGAATTGCTTAACACCCTGAGACCAGTCACAAAGCCACTCTGAAGCAGTACAAGTCTGTTCCAAAACACTGCGAAACCTTATGAAACAAGACAGAGCAGGAATAGGTGTCAAGAAAACATGCCTGGGGTAGTAAAGCTGGTCAATGGCTGAGCTGGGAGAAGCAGAAAAGTATCCAAGCCTCAGAGCTGAATCCTATTTCCCTGTCCATCACATAGGAACAATCCTCAAAACACAAGCAAGTAAAAAAAGCAGGACAGTGTCAAAACCTGTTCCTGTTGCCTAAACCAATTAATACAGCCAGGAATCAGCTCAACAAAACCATTTCACACAACTAGATTCTATGACCTTTACTCAGACTGAAATAAGAGGCAAGGTGACATAAGATGTGATTGAACATGTGCAGACACAAGCTTGGCTCTGAAGGGCTCCCCCATCCCTCTAAGAAAGTTTCAACCCTCTCAGCTTTACAGATCATACCTTACCAGCTTTGGTGCTACAAGTTTTTCTTAATTACTATGATGATCAAATATTTTTTGATCACTCAGCATTAGTACATCATTTCAGATCAGTTGGCTACATACACTATGCCAGATACACTCTGTAAAACATAGATGGGTGCATCACTGCAAGAGAAGCACCCAAATGCACAGCTGAACATTTAACAAGAAAAATCAAAAGCAACTGAGTATCTTTTTCCCCCTGAGGTTACAGGGAGCCTGTGGTTTTCTCTCGCTGGAGGAAGTAATGCAAGAACTCTCTTCTGAGTAGTTGCTTTTGGAGAGAAGTCTTCTCCTGCTTACCAAAGTATTTCAAAGGCAACAGTAAAATAAATTTAAAAAGGTTTCTCTTCCCTCCAAGTATTACTGACCTGCAGCACTTTGTTCGCTTCTTTTATATCTTCTATTTTCAGCTTTGATCTAAAAAATAAGACAATGCTATTTCAAACATATATTGTCAGTTATGGTCTAACAACTTGAAAAGTTGTAGGTAATTTAAAAATCATAAGCAAAGTACTCTGGACTTTCAGTTAGTATTTTACATCACAGCAGCATCCAGGAGATGCAATCAACATCACACCCTGCTGCACTAAGCACTCCGCAAAGAGCTCTCTCCAGAGAGCTCAGGATCCTTTGAATGGTTGTCAATCTGCTTGGGGTTATGTGGTAAGAGAGATTTGTAGCAGCATAGCTCTGTGCAAACACCCAAAGCTAGCACAAAGCACTGGTCCAAAACCAGAATTTAATTTGACTTACACAAGATGACATTATGTCCTTGTGGGGAAACCAGCCTCCCCACCACAGCCATCCAGTGCTAGACCACTCAGAACTGAGTCACAGTCTATACACTAAGTTATTCTATAGGGCATGGAAGTCCATGGCAAAGCTACTGAAAAGACAGAGATGATAAAATGAATCTTGAACAAGAGATAACAGTAACAAGACCTGTGCTCGGAGCCTACTGCTCACTGCAGTCTGAAGGGGTTTCCATAAAGCAACCTCTTACATCCTCAACAGACTTAGCAACAGCCTGTTTGTCATGCAGGGAATCTTCAGCTCCTCCAAGCAAGGAATCTATGAACATCCTCACAAAAAGGTAAGCACAGTCCTGCTGGAGCCAGGGCTGCTATCTTCTACTTGGGATCCTTCTTTGGGAATGCCACAACATGGAAACTGGCCAACTCTTTTCAATACAAAACAACTCCTAATTGCCCCAGGTCTCTTCACACTAAGATATGCCATTCAGAGCACTGCCTGGCCAAACTAGATTTACTTATTTTCAAGAACTGGCCAGGTAATATTGTTGTACAAAGTATAATTCACCATCTTACTATTTTGCTCAATTGAAGTTTATATGACAAAAATAATAATGATGATGAAAACCAAAATTACTCGCTCAGCTTGGATGCCAGATCCTGGAGAGCACCTTCTTGGTCTTGACATATGCTTTTCAGTTGCTTGTTTTTTTCCTGAAGTTTAAGGAACTCCTTAAAACAAAACAGAAAAAAAACCCCAATTATTCCCAAAAATGTATTTGCCTACTGCCTAGAACACTACTACCTAAAACTGATCTTACTGAGAAAGCCAAGTGAACGGTTCGCCACGTTCTCTATTAAGACTCCCAAATCCAAACTGAATTGCAACAACACAGGATTAAACTCTCTTAGATCCCAAAAGATACAGCATTTTTTGCTTCTGCAGTCCTCTCCAGGAAGAAAATAAAAATTACTGATTGCAGAGATCAACAACACTATCTAGCCACGTGCACCAAGCCAGAGAGAAGCTCAAGCACTTTCTGGCCTACAATGAGAAGACTGAGTTTTCAATACAACTAAGAAAGGAAAACAAGGATTTCAGTTTTCCTTACTTGAAGCACTGAGTTCTGACCTGAGGCCTAAACAGGTGGTAAAAAAGCCAATTTTTTTTTTTCTCTCTATTCATTTGTGAGAATACATTAGTCTAATCCTTCTTATTTACTTGCAGCAATTCCTAAAAAATACCATGTCTAAGTTAATAATTCACTTTTCAGTAATTAATTTAATTACTAGTCAAGTTTTACTGCAGAATTTACTTTTTTAAGGTTAATTATTCCTTGTGTCTCTATTCTCAGATGAGACACAGTTTCCTTTTCCTTTTGAAGGTCATCTTCTAAGGTTTGTCGCCACTCTTTTTCTATCTTCAAATCTGTTTCCAACTGAAGCCTAGAATATGCAAAACAAACAAACAAGTCACTGTGCACAGGAGTATAACTTTCAAAAAAACAAAACCAAGTTTATTTCTTGGTGCAATATACTATTATCTTAATAAATTCATTATCAACTTAAGAACTAAGGTATCAATATCATACTCTTTAAGGCAATGGTGTAATAAAATAAACACAGTCAACTTAGAAATGCTGTCAAAAAGTGTATTTAAAGGGCAAAAATATGGCACCATTTTGAACAGCTGACCTTTGTAATAAATGAGCAAAAGAAGATTAACCACAACATACTAAAGTATTTTTAAAACATGTATCAGGCAAAGCCCCATTCACCTTGTTTCTAAAATGAAACAAACCAGCCAACCAACCCCACTGCCACTGGCAATGCAGACAATGGTTGCATGTATCTCTGGTGCTCATAAAAGTTATTTCATATTATACCTCAGATATGAATCTTCTATTTTAGACAAAGGCTTATGGCAGATTGAACAGAATTGAAAATGAAGGAGGAAGGATTTTTAATTACTGTTTTTTATTGAGCTTTCTGCATAGCTGAGGTTCAACATCAAGAGGGATCTACATTCTATTCGTTTAACTGGAGTCCAGTTACAGGAATTAGGGCTACTCTGATGGAAGACCCACTCTAGCTGGAGTTCCACCCTTGGCTTCATAGAAGAGTTGGTCTTCAGAAAGTTATGGAGAAACCAAAGGATAGAATCACACTGCTCAGCCTTCTAGATCTAGTGTGAGGTGTCCCTGTCCATACAGGGGGGTTGAACCCAGATGATCTTTAAGGCCCATTCCAACCCAAACCAGTTTGTGATCCTATGATTCTGTGACCTAAATTGTGCTAATGCAATAAAACAGGAAAAAAATCTAAGAGCAGGCATGCAAGGTTTTCTGATGGAAAACCTGTATGCACATTCATTTTCCTGTTTTAAAACCAAAACCACTTTTAAAGGGAAGACTTACATTTTGGGAAACTACCTCAGCATCTGGCTGGAAAAGATCAGAAGTGTCAGAATTGCAGAACTCTAAGGCTAGGGTCTGAACTGCTCCTTTGCCAAAATCTGCAAAGATGACTGTGGTAGTAAAGTGAACATTTGTCATGAGAGTTAAACAAGTTTATTAACATTGAGTTGTGAGAGAGGCAGGGTGGGGTAATAATTGGATTGGAAATCACTAATTTTTAAGCCCCAATCCCTGTTTGTTGTGAACTGTCTTAAATAATTTGCTATTTTTCCAAACAGGGGAAACATATGCCCTTACAGGGGGCTTTTTCATTACATTACGTATTTATTTAAATCAGTATTGAAGGATTTAGCAGTAGAAAGGGTAGAGGGTTGGTTTTTATATTACTTTTAAATTTTTATTATTCCAGTGGATTTTTATTTTTTATTTCCTGCACAGTAGTAAGTCACTCCTACCTTCTCTATAAGCCTGATCAATCAAACTATTCTTATGTCATTTATGTTTAAGTTTACACTACTACATACTTGTGGGCTTTCCTAAGTGTGTATTACAACTACTACTGTACTGTGTACTTTCCCCCACTTCTGACAATTTTCTCATGAATTAAGCTGGCACTTTTAGACAAAGAATAATGCTGTTCTTCCCCTTCCTTTCAAGCTGCACAGCATTTTAGAGGCACGCAAAGGTAGCTTGACTTTCTATTTTCTTCCTTTGCCAGTACCTAACATGAGGATCTTCAGTACTTACATTGTGTTCAAAACATTTAACAACCAGCCTGCATTAAGACACAGGACACATTGCAATCTACAGTGTTTACTGCTGCATAATTTTTCAAACAGGAAAGATTTACTTACAGCTGTTTCTCCTTCTGGGAGAATTCTTTCTGCAGACTTTCAGACTTATCCACATATTCCTGTTGAAGTTTCTCATCCTCGGCCTCAGCCTCCATTTGAGCCTTCTCTGCTTGCTGCAATCTGGTGTAATTCAAATCAACTTTGGGTAAAACTGAAGCTAGAACTAGGGTGTAGAGGGTGAAGAAGACAAATAAAAGAAAAATGGGGAAACAGAAACATTTCTAAATAAAAACAAAGTTTGGGGGAAACTCACAAACTCAAACGAGAAGTCCATACAATGCCTAGAGAAGTAGCTCCTGTTTTTTCGTACAGTAAGAGAATAATCACTGGAAGTAATCACTGGTTTATTTTATGCTCATGAATAACAGATGCCAAAGCACGATGATACATATTTTAGACTTGAAGCATATAGCTTAATGCTTTTTCTTTCTAGCTTATGTTCATGTGTTACTTTTGGAAGCTTTTTAATTTTTTTTCCTCCAAATAAATCCTGTTAAAGTATTTGCCTTGTACTCATCACTCATTAAGACAGGGCAGAGCATGTGTTGTGCAAAAGCAGCTCAAAGCAACACAGGCATAAGGCTGAACACAGAGCACTGTAATCAGACAGCAAAAAAACCTTAACTAGCCTAATACAAGACAAAACACTCTCTCAGGTCCCACGACATTTATAGAACTACCTCAACTACATCGTATTATTAAATCATCTGTATGAAAAATAATGCATTCTTACACTGGTTTAAATAACTCCCATACTATAGACAAAACAAATAAAACCGATTGATCAAGAAATGAGGGATAGGGGCTTTTTACCAATTGATCAAGAAATGAGGGATAGGGGCTTTTTTTATTTATTTAATATTTCCTTTCTGAATGCCAGGGGTTTGTTCCTGCCTCAGCTAGCACCCCGCCCTGGAATCCAGTAATTAAGTGTGGTTCCTCTCCGCTTGGTCACCTCTTCAGTCCAAAAAAAAATGGATGTAATGTAACAAAAGTCAAGGTGTTAAAATGGAACTTGTATCATGCCTACACCTGTCTTGACAAAAAGGTAGGAGAATAAAAGGGCCTGTAAGATACCACTGAATGTCCCCACCTGCTGCATCATGTTCAACAAAAGGGTTTCAAGGACTTCTCAGGTAAGTGGTGGGAGAAATCTGTGATACTCTCTCTGTGCTTTATTTCTCACCTCCCAGCAGCTACCTGAATGCAGAGTGACTCACAACTCCCAGTGTTGGCTAAAAAAAACAAACAGGAAGTCAGTAAAATCTACTGCAATTTGTCACAGCACTTTGTGCTTCTGCTGATCAAGTTGCACTGGCAGGAGTTTCCAAAAGCTGCCAGTAAAGAAGTGACACATGTCTAGAATCAAACTACCTTATAAAGTGTATACTATCTCATTCAACTATACCCACTTGCTTTAAGAATGCTCTCAATCACATTTGCAATGGGTATGCACAGAGGGTAAAAAATACATATGGAAAGGAGAATGCTGGGAAAAGCAGGGTCAATTTCCTGGGCAGAAAAAGCTGAATGAAGCCACAGAAAACTTTAGCACCAAAATCTGATCTCTACAGTGCAGGCAAGCAGCAACTCAAAGCACACATGAGTTGTAAAGACTGCCTGATGCTGAGAGGAGGGAGGGAAAAGGGGTTGGACAAAAGCACACGTATGATTACTGCCTAGACACAGGCACAGACAGGCAAGATCCTTAGCTAACAAACAAGTCAGACAACTTGAAGATCTGGGCCCTGAATGCAGACCCTATTTCTCACTACAGCTTCCACTCTAGCTGCCAGGGTGCAGCTGTTCTAGGCAGGAGTCACAGCTACAAAATTTGCTGGGCTGTGCTGCTCTCCCTGTCTGCAGCTCCATCCACATCCAGGCTCCAAACACATTTTAATCCTGTGAAAATATCTAACCTCACATCACATCAGCAAAACGGAATTGTGCTTTAGCTGTTTTATCCCCAAACCCTGCAATTCTGCCACTGCATATATGCTGACACCACCCTCCTTTCTTAAACATACTGTTCTAATAGAGCACTCAAGCCCCTTTCCCAAACTCCTGTCATGCTGTTTAAGAAAACAGTGCTAGTTACAACCAAAAAACCCAACAGAGAGCACGCTTTTGGGATAAATACAGCCTAAAAGTGAAAAAAGATAATCTGGGGAAAGGGAAATATTAGTAAGAAGGGCTACTTTTTAAATCTGTTAGTACCATAAAGAATAGGAAAAATCACTAGATCAGAAACAAATGTAATAAAAATGTACAGAGAGTTGACTTTAAAATACATTTTGTTTGACACTTAAGTGATTAAATAGCATTAGAAAACTAGCTTACATTTGCTTAATAGTAGTGCAATAATTTACTTTTTTAAACTTTTTTTTTAAAGGGGTAAAAGTGAGCTCAGAGATGATGCTCTTTCAGAAAACAAAACTGAACCCAGCTGCTATCTGCTACAGTGCAGGGTTTCTAAATACCACTTTCTATTGAAAATATGCCATTTCAACAGTCTTAAGGTGTATTTTGTCACTAATTATTTAAACACAGCAGATCCAGAGGAGCTTTCAGAATGATATATCTTTGACAAGTTTATACTGGTGCTGAGCTTCACTGCTGGCACACTTGACGAATGACATTGCAATAGTCCTAGTTTGAGTTAACAGATCTTTGTCACTTCATGAATGGAGTGGACAAAAATCACAGACAGATGGAGGCAGCAAAATAGTAAAACCAAAAATTGGGATAAAGGATAAAAAGAAAAAGAAAAAAGAGGGGAAAAGGATGTCAATAAAAGAATATTCATGTCACTTTTTTTTTTTTTAAATACATAACCATGTTTTTCATAATTAGGTTTAAATGGAAAAAAAAAAAAGACATGTCAAACATCAACATGACAGGGCTTATGGATATGTTATATTTTACAATTTAAAAGATCAGCGTTGCATATAGGCCACTAAATTAAAAAATATGAATCACATTTTAATACTATGTAATGTGTGCAGTCTGATACCATAATGTAAATTCATTAACTGGAATTTTTGTCTTTCACTTTTCAACTTTCCAGTGTAAAAACTCATGATGTCATTGAAATTAATGGTACTGCAAAAGCAACAGACAACCACCTGAAGAGTTTCAGCAAATGCAGCAGTGACCCCTGAAGGCATTAAATGTTCATAATAAGCACATGCTTAATTACAAACAAGATTAATGCTTTGGTTTCTACTGCATTTCATTCAGGTGGGTGCAGGGGAGAGGAAAGAGGTAACAATCAGAACTTTTAAAGAGCTGAAAAAGCTTCTGGTATCAGCACAAAAACATAGGACTGGAGGAAAGAAGGTGGAGGAAGAAAAATGAAAGATTATTTTTGTATTTAAAATAAGTGTATTTGCTATTAAAAAAAAATATATATATAAAAAAAATTGTCAAGCACTTAAATTTTCAGAAAGGTTCTTTTAAAATTTACTTGTTAAAAGTTACATTTCATTGACAAGTGTGCAGGAA